ATAAGAGAAATTTTTAAATTTTCTTTTAGAATTTTGTACATTAGCACTGTATCAGTATCATGCCTACCCTTCCCAGTCCCCTCCACAACTCTTGCCAAATCCCCCTAACTTGTTCTCAATTTCTTGTCCTCTTCTTTATTCATATATACATATAATTATATACATACAATAATTATATATACATATAATAATTATATATATATATATATATATATATATATATAATTCACTGAGTCCATTTAGCGGTGCTCATGTGTACATAGGTTTAGGGCTGACCATTTGGGATTAGATAACCTCTCAGGAAGCTAGCCCCTGGAGAAAACTGATTCTCCCTCCTTCAGCACCCATTGATGGCCTGTAGCTCTTCATCTTAAGGTGGGACTCTTTGAAATGTCTCTCATTCATATTGGCATGACAATTGGTCTTGTCATTATACAGATCCTGTTAGGCTCTCATACTGTGGAGATTTCATTGGTGTACCTTCCCTATCATGTCCAGACTGCATTAACTACCAGCAGGTGTCTTGTCCTCTGTCTCTTACAATATTTCTACCCCTTCTTCCATTATTTTTCCTGAGCCTTAGGTGGTAGAGGTTACATTGTAGATGTATCACTTAGGGCTGGGTACCTCACAGTCATTTATTCTCTCTTTTTTGACCAGTCATGGAACTCTGTAATAGTCCTCATCTGTTGCAAAAAAAGAAGCTTCTTAGAAAAAGAACAGTGGTCACTAGAACAGGCAAAACAAATAGTGAAAGTTAGAAAATGAGTATCCAACCCTGGTTAGATAGGATGGATTACTTCCAGTGTTCAATAGCAGAGTAGGGAAACTATAGTCTATGATAGTTTATCAAGTATTTCAAAATAACTGAAATCTCATGATTTTCCATCTCATGATTGAGGAGATGGAAAAACTTGTAGTACAGATTTGGTAATCAAGCATTGAATACATATATCAGAAACATGTAGATATCATGTGTCAATTATAAAGAAAACAAAAATTATTTCTATTAGAGAAAAAACAAAAAGGAAGATTATTTAATAGTGAGAAGTACACTTGTTAAATATAAGTTAAATATAATTCTAAATATAAATTTAGAATATAGTAAGAAATCACATTGGTCTAGGAAAGTGACAGAGGTAGGTTTTTTCTCTAGGGTCTGTGACCTCTCCAACCGAGTATACTCCACTAACTTTGTATGACCATTCCCTTTTATTGAGTGGCCCTTAAGTGCAATTGGTTACTCCCAAGATAAAAGTGCTGCTATTTGCACCAATAGAGATATGTTACTTGGCCAGTTGTTGTGATCTGTAGACTTTACAGCTGGGTAGGATCATTGATTTGTTTTCTCCTTTGGCAGTTTGCATACTAACTTCTGATACTATGAGAGTCTTTGATGAGGAGGCTTCCAGGTCAGTCCCAACTCCATTGCTCCAAGTCCTGTGTCTGATGTATGTCATGTCTTCAGCAATATTATCTTACCTTCAGGTTCTGAGAGGCAATCAAAGGCCATGGCAATTGCTTGCATTATTTTGGGAGTTTCTTGGACTACCCTGACCAACAATTCAAAGATAGGTTTCCCTTGTCTTTCACTGTGATTTTTGTTATGTAGCATGCATATATATATATATATATACTCATATATGTAAGTACATCTTTCAGTAGGCTTGTGAAATAATACATTTCCCTATGGTTTTTCCCCATCTAAGTATTATCTCTCTTCCCCTGTATAGCTCTTTATCCCTCCTCCCCAGTTAAAATAGCCCCCATTTCTCCCTTATTAGCACCTGTATCCTACTACCCTCCCCCTGCTCCTGAGCCCTTTCTTTCCCCCTTCCCCCATGGCACTTTTCTCATTTCCCACTCCTGTGGTCACTTCAGGATATATTTACACACATCTAAAGGTTTTGAGCTAGAATCTACAAATGAGAGTGAACAATGGGTCAAAAAATGAGATTCGGATTTTTCTGAATCTATGTTACCTCACTCATAAGAGAAAGTTTATATGACTGTGGTTATATATGTATGTAAAATAGATATACAAACCAAATATTTACTCAATAAATCATAAAGAATTTTATTTTAAAATAATTCTTTTGTAGATATACAATTTTACCACTTATTAAAGCAAAAGCATATTTTCATATTAAGGAGATATATATACTTGTTTATTTTTACATAAAAAATTAAATCTTGACTCAATATTTGATACTGCAGGACACTGCACATCTTCAATATTTTTCAGAGTTAATATTTCATTTTGTAATCACCAATGCTGAGAATGCATAATGGCAGAACTAGGTCTAAGGTCATTTCAGATTTTGTTTGAAATGCTGTCCTAATCTCAAGCCAAAATTCATTTAATGATTTTATAAAACCCAACACAGCTTTAGGGCTGGCGAGATGGCTCAATGGTTAAGAGCACTGGCTGCAAATGGGGCCCCAAAGTTCTGTTCCCAATGCCCACATGGTGGCTAACGTTCCCTAATTCCAGTTCAAGGGTATCTGACGCCCTTTTCTGACTTGCGTGAGCATTGCACAACATGGGTGCACTTACATGCACGTATGCAAAACACTTGTACACATAAATATTTTTTTAAACACAGTGAATTGAATATTAACTTTTAAGATTAATCATGCTAATATAATCCAAAATATACTAATCTTATACTTAAATACTGAAGCAAAAGGTCTTTATGATTAAATATTTAATATTAAATATTAGAAGTCTTTATCTCCTACAGTTAAACTCATGTTTCTGTGCAAAATTCTTTGTATGAACAGTATTTACATTACAATTCATAATACACAATGGTCTGGAATCTGAGCTGAGATGTTTCTAGTGAGCATCATGGGGCATGGTGGCACAGTCAAGGCAAAATGCTGTATCTCTAGAATCAAGACTGCAGTGAAGAAGTTGCATGAGGAATGCTGCTAAAACGCTTCCTGACATGTTAGATTTGGAATTTGTCGTTGGTCATTGAGTGTTCAGAAACCAATAGCCAAATTTTTCATGACTTTCCTTTTAATGAGCTGTGTCCTCGAGACAGCATCCAAGATTGTAGTACAAAAATTGGCCAAAATTTCACAGCATATCTCTGGATTCCTTGAAAACTATATTCATCCCCATACATACACATACCCAGTGCTAAAAGAAATATTCACAAAGCCAGGGCACAGATTTTATCAGTCTGAGAAAGAACTCTATGTACACTTTCCTCATCATTATCTATCAGACTATTAGGGAGCAATTGTCAAAGCTCCTAAATGTATTTGCAATGCTAAACTGAAGCATTTTCCTCTTGGAATAAGAAATTAGTGTGACACTGTTTAGCCATTTTCAAACATTCCCATAGGCTAACCTCGTACTGCAACTCTCCCTTCCTGTTATGGCTTCTTAATCACAGCCATACTTCGCTTTCCTGCCCACAAGAACATTATGAAATTCCAACTCTAATGAATGATAAAATGAAGTTCATTGCATGAAAATGTAAAAAGGTGTAAGACTTAATTTTGACTGCACTCAGTTCAGAGTGGTATCTTGTGCCAGTGAGTTCTGGAAAGGAGATTGTTTTAAAATATGTAAACAATAATTAGTTGCTACCAAAATGGTAAAATGATCCATTTGGTCATAGGAAATAACTGTTGAATAATCTCTTAAACAATATCAAAAAGAAAAAAAGGTCGTTGGGACTGTGAGTTTGTCATGTACCATCTTGCTCCCATCACAGTGTGCAAAGATGCATGAGATGTCAGAAACTTCCAAAGGTTGCTCAGCTTTCAAAGACATTTCAAAGCACCTCTCAACTGCAGATGACATCAATGTAAATTCACAAGTTTGAAATAAAACCTACACTTTGTTATTTCATGTTTTTAAATATTTTTATCACGTGTGTGTATGTGTGAGTGTGTGTGCCATGACACATGTGTGGAGATCAGAAGACAACTTTGGAGAGTCAGTTCTATCCTTCTATCCTTCCACCATATGAGTCCCAGGGACTGAACTTAGGTCCTCAGTCTAGACAGTAAGTGCCTTGCCCACTGAGCCATCTTACCGTCCCTTCATCATTGTTTTTTATTCATTCTCTTTTTGTTTTTTTGTATAAGTTTCATCTTATTTCTCTGTGTCCTGTGACAAACAACAAATGTGTGTGCTGTCTTTAGCTATAAAGAGTTACCGTGAAGCTGTTGGGCAACCAAGAGCAATGGCAATAGTCAATAGTACTGTTTGGGAACCTCTGGAGTCTCCCTAACCAACCACTTGTAGAAAAGTATTCCACATCTAGCACTGAGATTTATGTTTAATAGTCTATGGATTTGGGGAGGAGCATTGTCCACACATGGCAGGCAGGTACCACAACTCACACAATTTTTATTGTATTTTTTAATAAGCTGATAAAATAGTAGGTTTCCATATGACTTTTTCATACACCTTTAGTTTTGGTTGCCCCCCCTTCCCCTTCCACTTCTCTACCCACCCACTGACCCCTGCTTAGACCATCCCATCCCTAGAATTCCCCATTCCACTTTTATGTCTAATATATTCTATCCCTTCTCGTTGAAGGCTACTCCCTGTATTGACCCTTTCCATCTTCCTTGCCTTTGCCAGAACTCAAAGTTAAGCAAACTACCCTAAAATTTAATATCTAGGATCCACATGTAAGGAAAAACATCAGTGGTTTGCCTTTCTGGGCCTACGTTGCTTCACTCAGCATAGTATTTTCGAATTCCACCCATTTTCCTGCAAATTTCATAATTTCATTTTCCTTTACAGCTGAATAAGTAATCAAATGATAATTTTATTATCCATATGTAAACATTTTCATTGACCATTCACCCACTGGTGATATCAAGTTTGGTTGCACTTCCTGGCTATTGTGAATAGAGCCACAATGAACACAGATGTGTAGGTATCTCTGCTGTGAGGCATAAAGTCCTGTAGGGACAGGACAAGAGAGGGTTAGCTAGGTCATATGGCAGTTGTATTTTTATCACTTAATAAAACCACAGAATACTTCATGAAATATTGTGTCATCCTTCTTCAGGAGTCACACTGATATTCTCTGTATCATTCTAATTTAAGTATAAATCTTGAGAAGCAGTTCTGGCAGTTCTATTTTTAACATTTCTGAGGAACCTCCAAAAAATTTTCTCTAATGAATACACCAGTTTACATTCTGAACAACAGTGAATAGGGTTCCTCTTTTTCCACATCCTAACAAGCATTTCTTGTCCTTTGTTTTCTTGATAATAGTCATTCTGATTTGGATAAGATGAACTGTCAAATTAGTTTTCATTTCTTGATGCTAAAGATGCAAATGTCATCCACTATATTTGATCATATTTAGACCCTCTCCCCATTCTGCACCCCTCTTGTTGCCAGATTTCATGTACTCTGTCATACGTATTAAGACTTATATGGTCAAATTTATCTCCCCAAATGTCCCTTGGTGTGCATACATCTGCTGGGACTGGTTAACCTATCTAGTGTTAACTCTTAAAGAAAACCTGCTTTCCATCTGTCAAGAGTTATAAATCACCAATAGTTCCTCAGCTAAGGTTGGGGCTTCTTACCCATTTCCCCAATTCTATGCTAGGATTTTGTCTGGCTTGAGATTGTATGGGTCTTGTGCATGCTGTTACCATTGCTGTGAGTTCATATGAATAATTTCCCAACTATCTGGAAAACTCTGTTTCCTTCTGATCATCCACCACGTCTAACTTTTACAACCTTTCTGCCCCCTCTTCCACAATGGTCTCTGACACTTGGGTGGCAGAGGTTCAATATAGGTGTCTGAATCAGGGATAAGCACTACTCAATTGTGACTTTCTGGGTTAATCATTATCTTTTTCATGAGGAAGCTTTGCTGGTGAGTGTTGAGAGATGCATTAATGTTCATTCCACGCCCTGTTCTGCAATGTTCCCTGAGCCTTAGGTGTGGAGGTTGCATTGTAAATGTACCAGTTAAGGCTGGGCACCTCACAGACATTTATACTGTGCATTTCACCACTTGTAGAACTCTGTGTTATTCTCTAGAGAAGCAAAAAGCTTTTTTGACGAGTGGCAAGAGCTACACTTGTCTGTAAATATAAGGATACACATTTAAAATATGGTAAGAAATTATGTTGGTCTAGGGATGTGACAAAAATAGAATCTTTTTCTAGGATTTATGACTTCTCCAGCCACATGTGCTGGGCTGTGTTTACAGTACCACACCTGAGTTCCTTCCCATTGAGTGGACCATAAGTTGAATAAAAGAGCTGTTGATTAACCCCAAGATAAAATTGCCACTATTGCACCAGTAGATTGTTTGCTGGGCTGGTCATTGTTGTGGTTAATAGATTTTACAACTGGACCAGAGAGTGCCAAGTTCTGGCCTCCCTCTGGCCTCTCTCTGACAGAGGGGCTGAGAATGCAGGGAACTCCCTGAGAGCCCAAGGATCCTGGCTCTGCTTGGTGGTGAGCTTCCCTGAATTGCGCCACACCCATGCCCCTACCTGGGATTTCATGAGGCCCCTCCCAAGGCCTCAGGGCATATCTGGCTTTGGTAGGCTAAGGCTGAGATACTAGCAGACAAACTGAGAGGGTGGACTGCCTCAGAGTGCCCAGATCCTGCCTCCACATGGTGAAGGAAGCCTGAGTGTACCTGACTGGAACCTGAATTGGGCTTCTGTGGGTGCCCCTGAATAGCTGATCTGAAGCCATCAGCTCCCTCCAAATTAAACCTGAGAGAACCTGAACCCTGTACCAACCAGCTTTACATAACCAATAAAGAAAAGGATCTAGGCACCTTGATAATACAAACAGAAGCAAACTTTAATTTAATTCTCATATCAGAATCATAAAAGAAATTCACATGCCAAAATCACAAAAAGGACTAATAAAATGCAAAGCCAAAACACTATGTCCCCACCAAACTCCACCAATCCTGTAGAAGAGTTCTATAAGGAGAACTCCCCCTAGAAATAACCCAGGACACTGCATTTAAAAGAACAATCATAAACATGATCAAGGAATTCAGTGAATTTAAAGAACACATGAACAAACAAATCAAAGAACTAAAAGATAGAGATAAACTTCTGAATGAATTCATGAAAGAGATGGAAACATTGAAGAAAACTCAGGCAGAAAAGAAGAAGGAAGTGCAAAACTCAATAAACCAACTTGAAACAACAGGGAAAAGCCTCACCTCTAGAATGATGAGATTTAAACAGAATATCAACACTGGAGGATAAAGTTGAAGAATTGGACCACTCAAGCAAAGAGTATGGAAAATTTTAAAAAACACACAAATGGAATATGCAAGAGACGTGGGACACCATGAAAAGATCAAATCTACAGATCATAGGAATAGAGAAGGAGAAGAATTTCAGGTAATGGTGTTGACCAGATCCTCAACAGGATCTTAGAAGAGAAATAACTACCATCATCACAAATTCAGCTGAGCCTTATCACTAAACATCATCACAACTGGGCTTGTTGACAGCTGTGCTCATTCATTAAAGGAGGGCCAAGCAGGTTCATTGGACCCTCAATGCATTATCCAGCCAGTCTTCCCAGCCACCTATATGTAATTTGACCCTAATCACACATGGCCTCCTGGATTTGGGGAGGGCTAAAGTATACAACCTGGGAAAGGCTAGTAAGAGAAGGCATGACCCATGTTGGGTAAAGGCTTTCCACTGTGCATACCCTCAGGTCTTATATACATCTCAGCAACCCCTCAGTTATCTCAGAAAGTAAGCTCAATAAATTCATTGGTTCCTCAGTAAAACTTTAGTCAAACATTGGCTTGACACTAGAACCTTGAAAGGGAATAAGCATTGCTTAGCATCCCCAGGAAAAGAAGTCTCACAACAGATGGAAAATTTATTTGTTAATGCTAGCCCCAAGCCCATGTGACCCCTGAGGAACAGGTCCTCAAACGGCCTTAAAAGTAAAAATAAATTGGTTTATCAGGGCCAACTGTATGCCCTTAAACACCCAAAAGGAAAGTATAACCAAATATTAAAGGGGTCAATATAATTTCTTAAGAGTCCATATGCATAGCTAAAGGCTGCATAACAAGCAACAATGCCAGGTAGGAGATACCTTCTTTTGAGTTGTTGGCCAGGG